CCTCCCTGTTTGCATGGTAACACCCTAGATATGATTCACACAAGCCGATTTAGCTTGAGGAAGGGAGGTTTCTCATTCTATCTCACTTACAAACCCACCAATTTGGGGATTAAGTTGTCAGGACTCTCAGGGTTGTAGAAACCCTCACCATAAAGTTTACTACTCTGGCAGCTTATTAAAGCAAACTTTAATGGAAAAGAGGGTTGGGGCAGTCACCTGTGGTCAAAGTGCTGCCACTGTTCTGGACGTGGGTTTGCCTTCTGTGGGCTGCTGAAATGGTGAAAGAGTTAATTTGGGCTGGAGGTCAGATTATGGTGGTGATGAAGCCTAGAATAGTTTACAGCGACACGAGCTCTGTAGGTGGAAAGACATCCTTTCCATTTCTTTCACCTAGAACCGTGGTCACCAACCAGTAGATCTCAGGGGCTCTAAGAGTAGCTCTTGAGCCCTCTCTGAACTATGCGCCTGCGCAGTGCATTTACATTAGATTTCCTCATTTGAGGAGCAGCTACTCACCGAGCAACAACACAGGTGAATAGCTGCGAGGAATGGTGGGAGCTGGGAGGTCGGGAGGACTGAAATACCCCAGCCAGCTGACTGTGGCTTTCAGCTGAAAGAGGCTGCCCCATGCTCCAGCTGATCGGTGGCTTCTCCTCTGTGCCTGCCCACGTTGGTGCACCCTGGCTGAGCGCCATGCCCAGCTGGCTGGGCAGCTGCTTTTCTTCCCTCCAGACTGGCTGCCCTGTGCTCAGCCCAGAGAGGTTGATGGATCTCCGTCGAAAAAGGCATTCTTCCTTGTGAAATGAGTACCGCCATCTAAAGAAGAGCTGTGTTCTTTTGATTTAATTTCGAAAGAACGCGGCTGTAGTCTAGATGCAGGTGAAGTTTTTTCCAAAAAAAAAAAAAAAAAATGAGACTTTGTTATTGGAAGAAAAAATACATCATTCTCAATACTTGATTTTAGATTTACAGAATAGCAGAGAACAAAATGTATAATTGTAAATGCTTCATTTGACATTTAAATAGCATGAATTAAAAACAGACCATTTATTTCATAACTATAAACGTGATTTTAATTTTATATATTGTATAATTTAAAAATAAACTGTTTAACAGAGTGTATAAGGGCTGGGGATAGCAAGTGATGGACAGGAGAATAGAGAGGGCGGGGCTTCAAGGAAGGGGCAGGGCGGTGGATCTTCGCCTGTTCTGAGACTTAAAAAGTGATCTTGGGTGTAAAAAGGTTGGAGACCACTGACCTAGAAAAAGATTTGTAGCTTCACTCCTGGGTATAGTGCTTGGCTTAGAGCTCTGCTTCTAGTGATGCAGCTGCTGTTCAGCTGCAAAGAGAAAGGTATGGAAAAGTAAGGTATTGAGAGATTATTTCTCTGCTTTGATTTTCTCTCTCTCTATAAAAAAGTTTTTCCTGCAGGGCAACAGAATGACGTTGTCACGCTCTCTGGCTGTGAAACCCACCAGAGAAAGCAGGGTACACAAGTGTAGGGAGCACAGAGCGCAACTCACTAGTTATTTTAAATAGTTAAGTAAACCGGTCCCTGTTCTCTAGTGTTGTTTTAAGGAACCAGTGATAAGACTGTCTGTCACCTCACTGGATTCTTGCTCCCATCTGAAGCTTGGGGGAAGGTGTTTTACATGCTTTGTCTAGACTTGCTCAAGTCCTGCATTACAGAACATCCTGATGGTGGCCTGTCTACTTTTTCAGCTGCTTCAAGTAGGAGGATTCTGCAGTACTTTATTTCAAAAAGGAAAAACCTTATCTGAACTTTATTTAATGTGCTTTTGTATGCTGGAATTTACCCCTTTACAAATCAGTATTGCAAAATCCTATTGCAGCACGGGAGAGTAAGTCAACCACATCCAGTAATCTAATTACATAATCTGCAATATCTCTTTAAAAATTGGGAGGGGAGCAGTATTTTTGAAACAGAGAACTTTCTCTAATTCTTCAGAGAAAATGAGATGATTTCTGGGTCAGTGCAAATGTCATATAGCTAATATTTCAGCATGTGCAATATCCTTTTATTATTATTTCAAATGTACATATTGAGACAATGAAACGTTAGATTTTCTGACCAGTGAATTTAGGCAGTGTGACTTTGGAGCAGTTTCTGAGTGTTAGCTTTCTCCTGCCAAACAAACCTCTTCTGAATTTCTGCCTCTCTTCTCAGCCAGCTTTTGACTTAGTTGTGGTGTTAAAAGGTATGGGGACCATATTGAACTATTGAATTGAAGTGGGTCTTTGCCCACGAAAGCTTATGCTCTAACACTTCAGTTAGTCTATAAGGTTCCACAAGACTCCTCGCCGCTTTCGCAGATTCAAACTAACACGGCTACCCCTCTGATACTTAATGCATGCTGTGTTCTTCGCTGGCAGGGTTCCTTGCTGCTTTCCCAGTTCTGCATTTTTGCAGACATAATTCTCTTTCCAGTCAATTATCTGCCCTTCCTGTCTGCAGTTCACCTTTTCGCTCATATTTACTCCATTATTTTGTTACTTGTCACTTGATGTTCGATTGAGCATATTTTCCATCTATTTTTCTCAGTGTCAGTATCAGCAGGCCCATCTCCTTGCATATTAGAATATAATTTTGGGTGACTGGAAGTGTCAGGAACTGATCAGCTGTTGATCTCTGGGTCGGAGGTTTGAATATAGCCAGGGTTCCTAGTGAACCTCTGATGACTGGCGACTGATGTGGAATGAGTCTGAAGGATCTCAGTCCAGTTCCCAAAGAAAAATGTTCACAGAATTAAGAACTGTCATTAACCCTTTTCATTGGCAGTCCCAGTAGACAAGTCAATAAGATAAACGGAGGAGACTCTACATCCTTCTTATCCTGAAAGGTAGCTTGTCTGAGTCAGAGCTGAGGAGCCCTGTTGGGGCAGGGCAGGAAGCTTGCCCTAGTGCTTCCTGTGCTATAAATAAGATTTCAGTTTCCAGAGTTCCAGGTGCTTTTCAAGAATGTTAAATTCTCAATGAAAAATTCTCAGCCTTCAAACTGTGTCTTATCGTTTATGCAGCGCTGAGGTGGGGGGAGAGACAAGCCATTTAAGGAATAAGAATTAACACCCAAGTGGAATGATTGAAGCGGTATTTTAAAAATGAATTGTGAGGTCTAGGAAATACAGTCCGACCCATTGTTTTATCATTGCCAAATGAAGAGCTCCTCCCTAATAAACTGTTTGGATTGGCGGCTTTTCGGTCACTCTAATCGTTTGAGTGACATGAAGCTCTCCTGTCCACGTGCGTAATAGACCGAGAGTTTGTGGAAGCCAGACATCCTATTGTTTGTTTTTTCCTCAGGACTATATTTAAATAAGTTTACAAATTGATAGGACATTCTATTGTAAATCCCTATGTAGGGATATTGATAGGGTGCTGATAGAAATTAGTATTGATAAGAGGTTAACATTTATCTAGACTACATTCATCTTCTGCAGTTTTGTCTTGTACTCTGATGGTTGAAGATCTTGTCTTAATCCCCATGGAGGGCAGGGTGCAGGCTGAGGAAATGCATCTTGGTATAAATATGTTGAGTCAAGCATATGGGGTCTTACCCACATGTTGGAAGGGCACAAAGAGCTACACGAAACAGGAAAGTGAGTAAAGGTTGATGGTTCTACATTCACTTAGGAATGGTCACAACGCTAGAACATGAAATTAAACTAAGCAGGTGCACGAGAAATTATGATTTGATGTTAAACTGCCATATTTCAGAACATAACATTTAAATGAAGTTGGTATAGGAGAGATGAGTGTTGGACAGAGCAGCTTAGAGGCAGTAAAAGATACTGTTGCTGGTGAAGGTACTTGAGCAAATGGATAAAAGCTTTGTCTCAATCCGAGGTAATTTCTGCACATGTGGATGATCCGCTGGGTCTGCGTCAAAGCCTAGGATAGAAGTGAGTTCTCTGAGTAGCCTGTACCTATTCCCACTCCTGGGATGCGCTGGCAATGCAGCTTGGATGGTGGCGCGCTCTTGCATTCCTTCCCTTCTTGCTCTCAAACATTCTGTGGGCAAGATTATAAAAGGGGAAGGGGGTGTATGCTGTCCCAGCAGCCTAAGTTCCTTCTAACTGTAGACTAACCGGCTGACTAAGACTTGTATGCCTACCTGTCTGATGCTGTAGTACGTTTTCTTTTGGTCTTCTTCATCCAGATTTCACGGTCCATGACACATTTTGCTTGGCTGTGAATTTGGTAGGGCCCTATTCATAGACTAGGTCTGTTAGTAGCATAATGTTTGTGTGTGATTGGGAAAAGCAGCTAAGAAAGTCAATGTGGCTACATCTCTTCTGGTGATGCATTAATTAATGCAGAGCAAAGTGGCAGAAGTAATGGTCATAGACCCAATGTAATGTTGGAGGTAGATGAAAGAAGATAAATGCCAGTGTAGTGTATAATGGGGTGGGAAAACAGGCCATGCTTGTTTGAGTCACATGCACATTTCGGGCTATGTAATCATGGGGAAGACTGGTTGGGTTAAATAAAATTACTTTGGAAGAAGCCAGTGGACTCTAAATGATCATAACACACACCCTGCATTGTAGACTCAAAATGATCATAATCCTCCACCCACAGCCCTCATTTCATGAACTATAGGAGTCTTAGCATCAACACAAAACAAGTAGAGCTTATCTACTGTAACCTGTCTGAATTGGTGCAGGTGATTCTAACTGTTGCGTTACTAGTGTGATTTCTTTGTGTTTGTCTCTTGGCTGGCTGTTTAGGAGTGAAGAGAATATGCTTCCTCTTTATTAGATTGCTAGTTTCTTTGTAAACAGTACTTAGACAAGATGCATCTGAATTTGCTAATCCTCTTTTTTTCATTTTTCCCTCCCTTATTGATTCTTGATAGCTTGTTTTCTTAATGAGACCCTGGCTTATATCACCTATCTCTTCTATCTAGGATTCTATATACGCCTACCAGTAGTTGTAACAAGTTTAGCTTATAACAGTGATCAAATGTAGGCCAAAATAACATATAGTTTCATATATGCTTTCTCTGATCTTTCCTGTTTGTTGTCTGCAGGTGGTCTTTGGAAGGAAGCTTGCATCCTTTTCAACAATACCAATTAACCAGCTGCAACATGAGAAGAAATATGACATCTATTTTGCTGATGGAAAAGTTTTTGCACTGTATAGGTAAACATAGCATTCCTTTCTCCATCCTAGCATTATCCTCTTTTCCCTTCCTTTTTTCCTTGGGGCATCTGAGCAGTGGGTGTTGATACAGGAAGAACATCTAAGAAAGAACCTTGAATATAGCTGTAGTTTCACCTTAGCCCAAGGGTTCTCAAGTTTGTGATACCATGACCCCCCCTCTAAGTTGCTCATGACCCCCTGGGGGGTCAGGACCCACAGTTTGAGAACCCCTGCCTTAGCCTAACAATTCTGGTGTTTTCAGTTGTTTTTGGATATATTGAGTTTGTTTAGAAAGATGAGGTAGACAGGTTAGAAAAAGTGGCCCAGGAAAGTGTGTAACAGGACAGCTCTAAAATAATATCTTGTCCTCGGCATGTAACAGGAAATGAATGCTATCCTGAGGTAAAACAGTACAGACTGATGTTGTGGAAATGTCACTGCGATGTGTATCTTTTCTGTCATGTAGAGAGTGGAGAAAATTGGACATGTGTATCCGGAGGTTTGCAAAAGACCTGAGGCTGCAAAATGGACACACCCTTAAGTCTGAAGTCCTAGGTCTTCAGCTGCTTAATACAGAAGCTGGGATTTGTCATTAAAAGTCACCTTTCCCTCTTTCCCACATGTGGCCATGAGAAAAATGCTAAGAGTGACCTCTTTTCCTTGTAATGGTGCTAGTTGTGTTAGGAAGAACAAAATCATGTGATCTACTATTAATCTTGTTTATTATGGTAGTGCTTAACCAGCCGAGAATGAGTCATCATGGTGTTTGTACAATGATTTGAGCAGAGTAGTAGATAGGGACTTTGTCTTGACAAGCTAAGTAGACAACATAGACACAGGCAAGGGAAAGGGGTGTAACACAAGCAGAATGAGCAATAGGATGGCAGCACACGTCCTGTTAGTTCCCTGCTTGTTTAGGTTGTGTGTGTAGATTCGATTAGGAGGAATCCACTAAATGGAAAGAACAGTGAGGGGAGTCAGGATGTGGAGGGGTACAGGACTAGGGAGTAAAGGCAGCCAGTGCTTTGTGACAGGTTCGGTTGCTGGGACCTCCTTGGGACTGTCACATGATTTGCTGAAGTACCACTGAGCCTGCCTTTCTGCACTCATGGGCATCCCTCAAGTCTGTCCTACTGAGCCAGGCTCTCAGACTTCCTCCAGCAGCGAGACAGATTGGAGTCACAGACATTTGCAGTAAAATCCCACCCTGAGATCAGCTCAGCTCTGGGAAGGCTCAGCTAAAGGGATTCACTTCAGCACCCAGATATACAGTCTCAGTGGAACCTGAACCCCAGATAAATCCATCTCACTCTGTGAGGTTTTATGTAAGATAAGCTCATGTTTTCCCTTTTCTCAGGGTAAAGAGAAATATGCACAGACTCCTTCCCCCCCCCAGTAACAATGACTTACACTGGTTTATTAATATACACAAGTGATTTTTAATAAGTATAAAAGCTAGGATTTAAGCAGTCATAAGAGATAGCAGACAGAAACAATGTAGATTACTAAATAAAATGGACCACACAAACTAAGCTTAATCCAGTCAAGAAATTGGTTACTTGTAGTATCTCACCCTTAGAGGTGTTCTAATAAGCTTCTTTCATAGAGTGGAAAGCCTCCATCTGTGGGCTCCCTCCTCAGTGACCTACCTAGATAAACTCACCCACCCTAAAATAGGTTTGCTTAAGGCGGGAATCCTTTTGTGTTCAGTGTAAACTCTCTCACTTTCAGTGGAAAAGCACAGCATCCAAGATGGGTCCCAGCATCTGGTGACATGTGATATCTCACATGAAAAGCAGTCATGTAACACTTTAAAGACTAACACGGCTACCTCTCTGTTACATCTCACATGAAGTATTTCACGTAAAGCATATTCCAGTTGTGCCATAGTCATAAGCATTCATATTTTCATAAAGCCTAGAGAATGTCCCATCACAGCCTTTCCTTGGAGACTAGTACAACCTATTCAGCCTTGTTCGATCCACGAATGGGACTGTGGAGGCTCATTGATATTCTTTTATGGCTTGGCAATGACTGGATTGTAGTGGGTTTGCTGGCCTTCGGATCGAGAATGGAAAATGGAAGCATGCTGTGGGATTTTGCTATACTAACTGTATGAGGCGTTTTCAGTTGGGTGAAATTTGGTTAACCAAGTTTCCACTGTATGAAGTGTTCCCAAAAGCATGTTGCTTGCTGCCTCCTATTATTAGTAAATGGCTAGAGGATAAGGAGGAAATACATTCCAATTAATTAAATAAGTTTTCTCTGAGGAGATGCATTTTGTAATGATGTGTCTAGTTGGAAATGTCACAGTTTTGAAAGCCGACCCCAATGATTTGTCTCAGAGGTTTCTGGAAGCCAGGAATAGTTGCAGAATGACAGTCGGGGCTGTCACTTTGGAGAATGGTGCTTTATTGTTTCCTCTTTCAGTTTCCCTCTTGCTCCCATATTGAATTAGCTGTAGCTGCGGTCAGTGTTATATGCTGTCAGATACAGTATTACATAAAGTTGTTGCCTCGCAGAGATTTAATGTGACTGGGTTTGACCACATCACAAATTAAGCTGCAAACTCCTTACAGTTACAGTTGGAGAAAGTTGGGAACCCACTTTTGTGTGTGAATCCTCGAACACTTGCAGCCTGTTCGCAGGCCATGCGCTCTAATATTTGTATCAATTTTTAAGCAGTACGTTTGCTGCTCCCCTCCTGATATTCAAGCTTCCGTGCAGTTTGCTACACTTCTGCTCTTGGATTGAGGGAGGGTAGTTTTGGAATAAGCTTAACTCTACTCTCCTTGAGTTAGCGATTGCTCAGACAGCTATGAAAAAAGTAACACTCTGTTGCTGACAGGCCCTCCGACTGGAGCGGGGAGAACGGACGACTGTCCTGGGGCCCAGCAAGTCAAAAGGACCCAGCACTTCAGCTGCGGCTGCTGTGGCAGTGGTGGTGCCAGGAGTCCCAGGCTCTGTAAATCACTTCCAGAGCATCATGCTCTGGGTGGTTCTAAGGGCTGTGTGGGGAGGAGGCTGAATCATGCCCAAGGCAGCACTGGGCCTTGTCCCTTCTGAGTGCGCTGAAGCGCCCCCCCTCCCCTTTTGCCCAGGGGCCCCGGTGTGGCTGTTGGCTCCCCTGGTTGCTAATAAAACCTTTTTCTTTTCACTGTAGCAGTTGAAGTGCAGGTTTTTGGGAGAGCATTTGAAGTAACCTAGATAAACCTTCCTTGAATCTCTTTGTCCTTTAGGCAGCTACTGCAGCATGAATGCCCTCTGTGTGCAGAGACGCGGCCGTTCAGCACCATTGTGGATTTGGAACAGCACATGAGAAAACAGCATGAGCTCTTCTGCTGTAAACTGTGTGTTAAACGTGTTAATTGTATGTTTGTAGAACACTGATGGGAAAGAGGAGGGCAGAATGGAATAGATGAGATGGTGGAGAAATGGAATCAATTACCTAGTCGAAGTTCCTTCCATCCTACCAGTTCTGTTTGCGTGACTTGCAGCATTGTATAACCCCCACCTCTCATAAATACACACACGAGACACACACACACACATGAGACACACACACACACACAGGCAGTCCCCGGGTTACATACAAGATAGGGACTGTAGGTTTGTTCTTAAGTTGAATCTGTATGTAAGTCGGAACTGGCGTCAGCCGCTGCTGCCATCCTACCAGTTCTGTTTGCGTGACTTGCAGCATTGTATAACCCCCACCTCTCATAAATACACACACGAGACACACACACACACATGAGACACACACACACACACAGGCAGTCCCCGGGTTACATACAAGATAGGGACTGTAGGTTTGTTCTTAAGTTGAATCTGTATGTAAGTCGGAACTGGCGTCAGCCGCTGCTGAAACTGATCAGTTTCAACCGC